AGTAAGAGTTATTTATATTTTTGACAACTATGTCGCGATAATTTTATCATGGTTTTACAATTATTTTTTGTGAATAGGAGATTGTGTAAAACTATTAATTAAAATATATTTTGGTCATTTTGTTTTTAATATTCAATTTACAATTATTTTTTCTAAACTAAGTTTATATAGGTTACGTTATATTTTACATGCTCCTTCAAAAATGTTACATATGAAATACGAATTACATATATTACAATCTAAAACTTATGTGAAAAATACTATTCAGATGATTGAAATGTTTATTTATTTAATTAATATAATGATGATACACATAACATGAAACACACAACTTAAACTTCCATTTTTAAACTAACCTTTCCAACTAACTACGTATTATAGCCACATGAAGGTATCTGTTAGTAACTTCACAGTTTTACGGTGGCTTAACGAATCAGGGTATAGAAAAGAACGTGTTTTAGAACGCGGTTAAAATAAGTCAATAAGAATTAGTCAGTTTTGGCTTTTTAAGACAATAAGCCAATAAGATTTTGAAGTTTATTCGTTAAATATTTTAATTAAATTCTCTTATTTATTTTATGAGAAATATAAGCAATTAGGACAATAATTTCTTTTTGTAAAAGAATAAGGCTTACCACGGGAAGTATATAGTTATGCTTGATATCAAAGTTCTTAAAGGAATGAGTTTGTTTTAAAACTAACAATAAATACACAAAACATATAGTATATTGTTGCGTGGCGTTGCAGGGATTTTCGCGCTAATGATGGGTTTCCCGCCCGTGGAGCGTTGATTCGCTCTGTTCGCGTTCGATTGCGTGTCTGGTTCCAAACTCGATAAAAAAGGGATGTGGGTACTCTTCAAGTGTAATATCAGTTTTAAAGAAAGGTTAAAGAAAGATAAAAGAAAATTTATTCCCCGCTACGAAATTAATTTACTAATTTACTTTACAAAATTGTAATACTTAAATAATGCGACTGATCCTTTTTGGCGCTAAGATGCCAATGAGTGCCGAAGCGACGCCAAGATGTATATAATATTAATATCCAATAATATAAATTATCCTATGCTTAGTTCCTAGCTTATTAAGAACGAGTGGTCTTACATATTGGCGATATTTTGATGCCAAGCAACCGAAATCTATATTTATTTAGTGAGCGTCGTTAAGTAGTAATTCGCGAAAGTATTAACAAGCTTTAGTTTGTTGCTTCGATTGCACCAGTTGACAGTTTGAATTTGGCGCGCCTAAGTTCATGTCATGTGGAGCCATCTAACATGATACCGTAACAATATAACATGACATAAAAGGAACTGAATTTCTTTACAACTATAATAGTAGACATCGATATTTTATCGATAAATTATTATGAAACGTCATATTTGACAAATTAACGATAATTAATAAAATAATTACGTTAAATTAATTGTGTTGAACTGGATTAAGAATAGTATAATTGTTTAACTGTTCAAATTATTTTTACACGATACTTATCTTCATATGTTACAAATTATCAGGATGAATTGTTGCTTCATTTTTTCATGAAATTAATGGTTATAAGTTTCCACATAATTATTCGTAATTTCAATGGAAGTTCCTAATTAATAATTATCGGAGTAAATAGAAAGTTTTTTCGTAAGTTTGTTCCTTGTATTACTTACATGCATATTTACAAAAGGAAAACGTATTTTTGCTAACAGTGGGATAACAAATATTCCAAGAATCTGTGAATCGAATTCCAAATTCTGTAATTTAAATTCGAATAAAACACAGGAGGACTTTTATTTTATAGTAACTATACATAATGTGTATATACATATACATATACGTAACATTATATACATATTTTCATCATTTTCTTAAACTTTTCTAAGAGTCCAATGCAAAAGTTCACGTTTTGCGATAGAGATCGATCAATATATGTAATCCGATCTGCATTCGACCATCTCGTTAATCCTTATATGCTAGTGTTTGAGTTATTTTTTGACAAAAATGGTATGCGTGTTTCTCGTGATTCTCGTCTGTAGTTACTTCCATTGCTTGTTGGCGTGAGCCTACGTTGTGTCGTAGATAATTCCCTAAAAATCGCGAAAAAGAATAAAGCATGTTTGAATACAATTCTAATAATAACTCATACGACATCGTTTACACAAATTATTTTCTTCATTTTATTAACTCTTACAATCGATAAAAAGTAAAATTCTCATGAATTGATTATTTTTCGTAACGTTAACCTACCTTTGACGCTTTCTCCTTGGCCAAAGGTGAAACGCGCCGTATATTAAAGGATTTACCAAACTATTGCTCATTCCAAAGAAGAAGATTGCGCTTTGTAATTCCTCGCTTAGCTAAAAGAGTCAGAGACTTATTAATATACCTCGTTAATTATTTCCGTCCGTAAATCGATCAATTTTCGTATTCTAAATCAACATAAGTATAATTAGGTATATGTGTAATACAAAATCACAACAAATGATATCGGGATAGGTGTAACTCCAATGAATGAATTGAATAGGCAATAGACAATATTTCGACAAATTTAATTTATGACGGTGGTAATCGAAGGAGGAAATAAATAGAGAAAGGATAGGCGAAAAAGGAAAGAGAAAGGAAGGTGCGTTTCGTCTTGGGTTCCGTAGTGAACTCAACGGTAAAGATGTAGGTTAGAAATTGTATACAAGGTGTCCCAGTTAAACCAGTCCCCTCGAATATCTACGAAACTGTTGATGATATCGAAAAATGTTTCAAGTAAAAATTGAATGCTTTCGAGGGGCATATAATTTGATATAAGTAGTTTTTTTGTAGATGTAGAAAACAGAAAAAATGGCATTTATAAAAAAAAATTTCTTTTCCATCTTATTCATTATTGTTTTCTCTTTGAAACTATCTAAATTACGTATAACAATTTTCCCATAGCTAGAGAAGATAATTAGGTGGTCTGTTTTACGTGGCCCACCCTGTATACTACTAGGAGCCTCGGCGAGGACCAGCGAGAGAAAGGTCAATGGTTCGTCCCCTCTGGTGGTTGAACGTAGAAGCTAAGTACCTTCACATATAATGTACAAGATACTTACATGCTTATCAGGATTAAGGAACATAAAAATAATCATCATTGTGTAATACGGTGTCCACCAAAGGACAAAAGCAGCTACGATGACTACGCTGATTCTCAACGATTTGGTTTTTGCTCGATGCATTAATTTTCTCCTATTTATGTCACCGTTCATGTGAGACGTGTTATTGCTAGTCAATTCCAATTTGAACATTCGCTCGCTTTCTGTAATTAGTTTCTTCGTTACACAAATCGAACGAATCGTTCGTATTTACGTTTTCAATGCTAATACTTAAAACAAAAGCGACAAGTGCAAGCAAAGTGTGCATGGAAAATTAAATCTGTACCGTCACTGTCAGATTTACATTTAAAATACACTTACGAGAGATTGTAATTACGGTGGAAACGTACGTAGTGATAAGAATAGCTAGAGGTAGAAGGAACATAAAGAACAAACTGAGGGATACGTAAAGTTGCTCTTGCCATGGTTCCGTGTAGAATCCGTGGGTCACGCATTGCGTGAATATTTCGATGAACGGCCCCTGGGCCACGTGAAATATAACAATCTGAAAATAATAGCGCATAAATATCTTACTCTCGAATATTACGAAATATACATCTTTCACTTCGATGTATTTCCATTTGAATTAGTTGCTTAAAGCAACGCTTCGTGATAAATTAGCTAAACCCTGTATTTTCGAATCTTCGTAATATACATAAATCTCTTTCTCATTTCACAATGAACAAATATCTCGGAGTTCGTGCATTAATTTATCGAATTTATTTACGATCGCGGTAATTGTCGTAAAAACTGTCCAAATTCGAAATTTCGGTTTCACAAATTTGACTCCCTTATCGTAACGAAACATTTCCTAATTTGTTTGGTACAATAACTGGTTAATACGTCGGGCAAATGAATTCCCCAAATGCAAAATTTACCGTAAGATCATCGATTCCGTATTGAAAGCGGCAAGGAAATCTATCGTATCTAATCTTCCACGTGTTATAAGTTCCACTTTTTACGAAACGATCGATTTGAATTATCAGCTTCGTCAATCATTGGAGCGTGTGACTTTTTCTAGCATTGATACATGCTGGAGAAACGAAGGTACTTCGATTATGCTCGAAATATCATCGTTCATTTGTAAAAGTCGATGATCGTTCGTCGGTTATTCATCAGCAATGTGACATAAGAACATTTTGATTTATCGTTTCATCGTAAAATTTCTCGTATATTTTTTTTTAAGCTTTTTAATTAACTAGGAATGTCAAATCATAGATTGAAGGTTGTATCTCAATGAACGGAGTTAGTACAAATAAGGGACGCGCCTGTGCGCCATTTTATCATCGCTGTTAAGGTATATGGCATGACTTTTTATATTTCAAAATTTTCCTTCCTCTACGCACTTTCAGCTTTTCACAATTCTGTGATATTCTTTTCATATTTCATATTTACAAAAATAATTTAAATTGATTCAACATATTCCATACTGCATGGACGAGTAATCATTTTTCAAATTATTTCTTACACCGGTTGATCATCATTTATAATTACGGCGGTGATTTGACTTAATTTCAATTATGAATTCGTTTCATTTATCAGTAGCTTAAAGGTGATGCGCAATCATGGTGAGTGATTCGGCGAAAACCCTTGCACTGATCATTACGGCGATCAAAAATCTTCGCGAACTGAAAGGTTCGACATTGCGAGAAATTTTGCATTATCTCTCGTCCGTTCACGATGTCCCTTCAACTACAGCGCGCCGTCAGGTTGGCGATTTTTCT